GGTCATACATCAAGGACAACAATCTCCAGGTTCCTTAAATTTATCTATTTGTTTGTTAGTGATAAGTACTCCATGTGTTCTTGCAAATTAAAGTGCGATCAGTTGTATTTAATCATATGAAGTAAAATATGGTGCTGTATTAGTCTTTCTGTGTTGCTTTGTCTTAGTTATAGCGCTTGATGTTTGCTGTTCAATTGCAATTAAGAGGCAGTTCTTAGTTTTGCTCATCGAAATCTGTTTTAGTGCTTTCATGGTATAGATTTTTTTAAATACTGAAGTGGTGTGCTTGCATAGGATCCGAACAACAAGAATGTGGTCAATTGTGACGAAAAGTTGAAGAGCGTTTTGTTGGGCAAGCCTCAAGTTGAGTTATCTGAACTTCCTACACTGATCAAGCTCCATTTCCCCAAAGAGCCAAAGTAAAATTCCCAATTCAAGTTGAGGTGCACATTTTCTCCCCCATGGTAATCTTTTCTCTAAGAAGCATTTTACAATCTTGGTACCTTATGTTGTAAGAAACTATTTCAGGAGTAATTGCAGCCTCAGTCAGCCATTTTACGTTATGTTCTATTTTCATGTCATGCCCTTTTACTTGCTATCAGTATGGTTTTGTAAGACCTTAACGGTAGTTTTAAAAGGTAATATATGTTTTTGTTTAAATACTCAGCTTATCTGTATGACCTCTCTGTTGGTGTCAAATTTAGATTCGGAATCTGTAAGTGACATTACAATTGAAATTATAGTGAAAGCATGACAACAAAACTCAACGAAAAACGCTGGGTTTCGGATGATTTCTGAGAGAATATCATATGGGTTTGAAAGAACAAGTTGAAATATAACTAGTTCCATGTTGAGCATTCTCACCCAATTCCTGTAACTTCACATTGAAACTTTTGGCCTCATCATTGTACTCCTCAATACAAACACTCCTAAAAAGGATATCTGTAGTTCTCTCCAGTGGCAGGCAGCTCATTGGAGGACGGCCGCCTGAGACATCTTCCTGACCTCCAAGATGGTAAAGCGCCCTGTTGAAATTTCTAGCAATTCCTAGTAGAAAGTTTTGGTGCTCCTCAATGGAAAACTCCGATGCTCTGCCTGAAAATACAAAGTAATTTTCTAGAAATCATTAGTTCCTATACTCTTCAGGTAAAGTGCTTCTCCCAGGACCTTGTTAGCTTTATTGTTGCCTAGGTAGCTTCGCAGGTTCTTCTGATATTCCTTATAGTACTCCAATTCCTTCCAAAAAGATATCACAAACTGCACAACCAGTATAGCAGCTGTAAATAAAACAAGCCTCTATTTCTTGACTTTAACTTAGTATAACTATTTTGATTTGAAACGACACGAAAGCAATATGATTGAAATGATTAGAACTCAGAATTAACTGAGATTCTGGAAATTGTTGGAAACAACTGTTTTGTCTTTATATTAGTTTTCATTTTCACTTTTCACTTGGTAGATTCACTCATGCATCATTGACGCTAATTAGGCGTACTAGGTTGAGTCAGAATGCGACTTAAAAGCACATCGGAAGTAGTTTGTGATATCTGGTTGTTGGAAAACCGGCCAGTAGGCCAGCCTCCATAGAAATCGCGACCGTAGGGTTCAAAGTCTTATCTTTAAAACTGTTGATATCTGGTTGTTGTTCCCTGTATCCACAGTAGTCTCCAAAGACAATGATTGCTGGAACTTTCGCACACACCATAGAATCTGCACTAGGAGATGAGCAAGCAGGAGCCATTGAATGGCCTTAACTGTCATTTTTCGCTTCTCTTGAACTCACCAGTTTAGAGTATAAAAATGCAGTAGGTTGTTGGTAGGGATGATATGAATTTATACGAAATGGAAGAAGCTGATGGAAATGGAGGTTTATGAAGTTTGTTGAGACTTTAATTTCTGTTGGTGTTTTGTATGTGAGAGAGTCAATGGTGGAGGAGGTAAGGAAAATAGGAGTGGCCTAATTTGTAACTGAATCTGAACCTAATAATAATTAGTCATGCGAGATTCTGTTTTAGGGATAATAAAAAAATGAAGGAAGCTAAACCTGGCTTTGTATCGAGGTTTTAAATTTTTTTTATTTGACTCTAGTAGATGTGGAAGTCACACTTGCACTTACACCTTCATGATGCCTTTTTGTTCTTCAGTGTACGTGTGACTTCCACATCAATTCAAAAATGGTCACATATTTGTCATGTCATCAATTTAGTAAGGGTTATGCACACATTCATTTTTACCTCTATATATCATTGTTAATTTTTGTCCATTAATCTTCTTCAATTCATTCGATCCATGACCGGAAATTGAGAAGGGTGTGAGACGTAAAAATTGGTATGCGGATATCACCACCCTTTAACGAAAGACCATACAATCACAGCTACATAAACAAAAATAATAAATTGATACGATTTCAAAACTTCAATGAGGAATATGAGAAAATTGAAGCCTCGTAAACTCACTTTTACTATAGGTAGCACTCCACCAAACCAAAGAGGCCTAGCAAACCATAATTATATAAACTCTCTCAAAGAATTAGTTAATCTCTCAAATCACATAAAATTATGTGACCGCATTGAATTGGCTCAGGACTAATGAGAGTTTGCAGCTTACAAAAAGATGTGTCTATTTATGGAGACAAAAGTTGCATCTTATGATTTAAGAGACTTATCATGGACTCTCCACCACTTTATGTTTTTGACATAATTTTCGTGCTAACATTATAAATCATTGTGTAAAAAACAAGAGGTGGTGAAGAGTTCAAGAAGAGACCTACTTTTGAAAGAGTTTCTTTAGCATTTCTCTTTATTTAAAACATAAATAAAAAGTTGTATCATTTCACTTCAAATAAAACGTATACATTTTGTTTTTTTTTTTTTAGTACATTGATATTTTTACACTTAAGGAAATTGGGAGTTTGGCTAAGCCACACAATGGGCAACCTAATTTGGTATCGAATTTGCCATCCACGAGATTCGAACCTAAGACATCTCACTTGTCACATCCCGGCCCGGGGTGGATCACTTCCCAGGCCCGCTCCACCACCGTAGCACGATATTGTCCGCTTTGGGCTTACCATTCCCTCACGGTTTTGTTTTTGGGAACTCACGAGCAACTTCCCAGTGGGTCACCCATCATGGGATTGCTTTAGCCCCATTCTCGCTTAACTTCGGAGTTCCCAGAGCCTAACTCTGGCTGCGTGTGTGCCGACGAGGACGTCGGGCCCCTAAGGGGGGTGGATTGTGACATCCCATATCGCCCAGTGGAGTGATCCTTAAATGTATATTCTCATCCTACTTAGCACGAGGCCTTTTGGGAGCTCACTGGCTTCGGGTTCCATGGGAACTCCGAAGTTAAGCGAGAATGGGGCTAGAGCAATCCCATGATGGGTGACCCACTGGGAAGTTGCTCGTGAGTTCCCAAAAAGCCTCGTGCTAAGTAGGATGAGAATATACATTTAAGGATCACTCCCCTGGGCGATGTAGGATGTCACATCACTTCCAAGTAAAGAGGAATATTATTAGACCGTAGTACCGAGTGGCAACGTAGACATCTTGTTAGTTATATACAATTACCATTCGACCTGACAATAATTTAATGTCGAACTCGTTATTTCATGCGAGTTGAATTAATGGTAGTGGTAAGAAAAAGCATGATTGAAGAAAGAAAATGTTGTAGTTAGAGTGAGCATGTATGATGGTGTAATTTCTAGTAGATTGTATTTAGGATTCTTATGTAATATAATAGATCTTAGGCTTTCTTACTTTTAGGACAAGTAAGCCCGTTATGTTTACTATAAATAAAGGCACAATGTAACTATATATATATAAAGTTCCCGAAGGACTTACATTGCACTGAATTCTTTTTCTTACATCAGCAACAAGAGCTTTAGAAAATTGAAGTCAAGTAGACCCGAACCAAGAAAAATCATGATTGAAGAAAGAAAATGTTGTAGTTAGAGTGAGCATGTATGATGGTGTAATTTCTAGTATATTGTATTTAGTATTCTTATGTAATATAAAAGATCGTAGGCTTTCTTACTTTTAGGATAAGTAAGCCCATTATATTTATTACCATATATTCCTATAAGGATCTTAATACACAAATATATATATATATATATATATATATATGAAGTTCCTAAAGGACTTTCATTGTACTGAATTCTTTTTCTCACATCAGCAACAAGAGCTTTAAGTAGATCTGAACCAAGACAAACTTGCCGACCTTTTCATAAAGTCATTGTCGAAACCTACTTTTTAGAAGCTTATTCAAGGAATTGGTATGCGTAAATTGTTTGATTTACAATGCTTATAGTTCTCATTAAAAGTTTTGTCAAACTCAGAGGAGTATTCTAAAGTATACTCATTTGACCTTAATGTACTACAATCAAGATCATTTTCTCCCATTGAGTTATTGTAGCCTGACGAGGTTTTGATGAGGCAACTACTCTAGTTGGTCATACCTTCTTTTGCGTTTTACTTATGTTATGAAGATGTTAGTCCTTTACTCATTATATTTACTCACTTTTCTCCTTAGACTATTGGTGGATTTTGTCCCATCTTGAATTTTACTTTAGCCAGATTTTGTGAGGTTTATCCATAAATGCATTCTTCCTTGTTCTGAAACTCGCATTCGCTACTTGTGCCACTGGACGAGACGACTTCATCAACTGCTTTTACATCATCCATGAGGATCTGATGCGTCATTTACTTAAGTATTTACCCACTCAAGAGGGAGTATTGTAATTAGAATTGTAGTACAAATGTAATTCTGTAATTCCTAATAGATTGTATTTAGAATTCTTAGGAAATCTAGAAAGTCTTAAGCTTTCTTACTTGTAGAAAAAATAAGTCCGTATGTTTACTATAAATTAAGACACAAAGTAGGAGTGAAAATAGGCAAAAGAAAGTTCATTCTTTGGTTGGGTTGCCCAATATTTCTGTCAACGGCCCAACTTCGTTGACCGACTTGATAAAGTTGATAAATAGAAAGTGTATTATAAACAATGGCTTCAGAGCTTACAATCTTGCACTTGCTCGAAGTCCCGAAGTAGGTGGCACGAGACGAGGTGGTAACTGAAACCTCACTCTGTTTTTCCGGAATCTCACAGAGACAGCGCTCGATCCCATGGCAGCTTCCAAGGTCCAAGCTTTCTGGAACCACCCCGCAGGCCCTAAAACAAGTTTGTTCTTTCATCTTTTTTTGCCTCTTTCAGTTTTCTCCAATAGCTCTTATATGTCTTCGAGGGTTTTAGAAATAATTATGCTGTAAAAGATTTAATCCTTCAAAAGATTGAATTTTGGCATCTTGGTTTTGGTTAATCAGGCAGATAATCAGGTTTTGAAAACGGAATACGCAATTTTTTTACTACAATTTTTGAAACGGAATGGCAGGATTTGTCAGTTTTGATTGTTTACAGGATTATTGTTAATTTCAGAGAAAGCTAGTCAATATAACCTGATAATTTAATGTCATAAAAACCTTGGGGAATTGACCAAAATGATCATTTTTTCAAATCTCAATTGCTGAAATGATCAGTTTTTCAATTTGTCCTTAGATATCTGATTGCTATGTCGTCGATTTGATTTTGATCAGTTCAGCAATTGGGGGATTTGTATTCCGATCATTTTAGCCAATTTTCCTAAAAGTTTAAACCCCTATTTTGGAGATGAATAATTTCTTTTAGTCTCAAGAACTCCCAATTAGAGATAATATCAGTACCAAGTCTCTGCTCTAATCCTTAATAGAAGTCTCTGGTCCTACTCAAAAGTACAAATATTTGGGAAGCAGAAAAAATTCAGCATTACAAATCTCGAAATGTGTCATGATAAAACTGAGGTGTCTAGGTGGGGCTATTGAGCCATGTTATTTTAGTGACTCATATATCTCATGATACAGTTCACTTCTGGGCTCCAACTTTTAAATGGGGTATTAGCATAGCAAATATTGCTGATTTCTCAAAGCCACCGGAGACGCTGTCTTATCCTCAGCAACTAGGTACGCACCTTTTAGGAAATAGCTTTTCAAGCAGTCCATTTGATCTGTGCTTAGAATTGTGTTGTCATACCTCAAGTATCATTGTGCAGCTGTTACATGCACTGGACTTATTTGGTCTCGTTACAGTATGGTGATTACTCCGGTATGTTTTGTTTCTAGCTCTGAAGGATGTTATCGTTCAACACTTAGCTTTCGTTTATAACGATTAAGTCTGAATTTCATGATTTAAAAAATACTGATTGCTTGACAAAGCTGTAAATCCTGCTAAATAACCACCAACATCACAAATTATCATCTTTATGCACGGTACAGTAATAATGAGATACGAAAGAGGAGTTAATCTTCTGAAAATGAAGGTAAGTGGAGATTCTTCTGTTCGGTGGAGAATCCTCCAATCTAAAATGTGTACTATAAGTTTATAACCACTTCATTCTGCACTGAGTATTTCCTTTTAAGTTTAGAATTTAGATTCACTTTAATGTTTAAGAAAACTACTTCTTGATGCTTCCGACAACTTTACTTGCAGCTAAAGCTTTCGTAATATTATTCTGAAACTGCAGAAAAACTGGAATCTGTTTAGTGTCAATGTTGCAATGGCTGGGACAGGCTTGTATCAACTTTCCCGCAAAATCACGTAAGCTGGATTCTAGTAAAATATATATTCATATGGTTAATAATAAATGGTTTGGGAATTAATTTTATCTTTGGTGGAAAGTAGCATTTATGAGGAAAGGGAGATTTTCTTGCAAAATTATCAGAACATGCTCACATTTGCAATTTTTTTCATGCTTTTAATTGCCTTTCCTACTACTTACAGGCACGACTACTCTTCCGACACTGAAACAGCTGTAGCAAAAGAGTAAATCACAAACCTTTCAGCAGGTACATGGTTCATGCTGCAAGCTTTTCTATATGTGAAATATATGAAAGAACCTGTGCATCCGCTTGTAGTTTCGGTTATCTTTAGCTTGTAATTTTGGACCGAATATTTTCAATCGCCTACCTAAGAATTAATTTTATCTTTGATGGACTTAATGTCCAGAAGTTTTTCGGAGTTCATGCTTCCTAAGAATTCTTCAGTTTTTATTACTTTTGTCCTTGATTGCTGTTTTTTGTGCAATAATTGATATACACTAATATGTTGTTACTACTTGACCATTGATGATATTTTGCGATTTGCAGTCTCGTGTTAAATTTAATGACGTACATGTTTGACAAGTACATTATCAAAATAAACCGCAATTTATTATATTCCTTGATACAAACAATATTGGGGGAGGGACCCGAACTCGGGAGCTCAGGCATAAGGGTGAATGTTTTAACACAATTTTTTTTGTTCGCGTCAATAAAACATAACCTTGGTCTTGCCCTTTCAACTAATTTACATCTTTACCAAATCCACCAACAAACCCAAATTCACCGGGCAATGGAGTGTGTAAGCAACTTATTCCAAATTTGTTTTGCATAGGATACACAATTGAGGCGACAAGGAAGAAGAAGGATGCCTTCTATGAACCATGTCAAAAGTATTGAGGAAGAGAGAGTTAAAGAGAGGGAGAAGAAGTGAGGTGGCAGCAAGAGAGAGGTTCGAGGGTTCTGGAAGGGGACACGGGACAGAGGAAAAGGACTGGTGTGGGCCTCACATGGCTCACAAAACAAAATACAAAATATCTCCAACATGAAATTACCAATTTGTCTTCTGTATTTGGTGTTTCGTAAAATCTTAATTGTAGCTCCAAATTTGGTTCCGTTTGCACCCACTTGTTCATATTGTCGAGTACTTTGAGAATATGTGTGTGTGTGTGAGAGACTTTGGGTCAAGCCCAATAATAATTAAATAGGTACGAGACTTAATTAATAAAATATTAACGTAAACGGCCTACTTGCCCACTTGCTTAACAAATCCAACAAATAAACCATCGATATTACGGTCTGCAACCTGCATACCGACAACTCACTGTTGTCTCAATAAACAAGTAATAAATTCACAAGAGTGCAAAATTATCATTTTGCCCCTTATTGGGAAACATGTATAAATTGTCCGACTTACAACCATTCATGCTCACGTGTTTGAAAGAACACATACCACCTAGAGGTATGTGCAAAAGAAAAGTGTGATAAGGACTCGAATGTCCACGAAGGTTTTCCACCTGTAAAGGGCATTTTAGTAATTTTCCAAGGCTCAGGAATAAAATAATATTAAACTCGGGATGGAATGTCACAAATGATATGGTTGTAGATGATTGGATTATTAATTAAGTTTTGGTTAATGTGCTTATCTCTTATTGGTGACACATCATTTGGTTTAAAAATTTGGTCTTCCTAACATTATCCTTAGTATATACCTGCATCATACAACCGGTTCGTATAATTTATCTTGTACGAGCCGCCTTAGCCTAGTTTGGTATTGTTGTGTTTTTTAAAAAACTGCTTTCTACTATGTCATGAAAATAAACAGCTTTAAAATAAAGTTGTTGAGTCTTTGATAAACCTTTTTTTTTTTTTTTTTGTAAAGTGCTTTTAACAAAAAAAAAAAAAAACAATATCTGAGTATTTGATAAACTTTTATATAAATTGTTGTAAATATATTAAATGACTAAAAATAGTATGATATTTAATGTAATATAATAATTGTCAGAGAAAACAATGTCTATGCCAAGATTGTAATTTTGTAACATATGTGAAGGTATATTTGTTATTTAAAAATTTCATTAAATAACACTAATTTCTATGCTTTGAAAAGAAAAAAAAAACATTTTTTTTAGAAGCATGATAAACCCAACTTCTGCTTTTCTATGCTTTTTTGCTGTCATCTTTTAAAAAAGTACATTTTATTTTTATGATAAAATTTGATGTTTCAGATTTCTTTTAATAAACTGTTTTTTCAAAAAAAAAAAATCACAATCCAAACTAGACCTTAAATAAATAAATAAAAAGCCGGTCGGGTAAAGTAGTAATTGCATTCGTCACTGAGAGTGAGAGTGACTCTCACTTTAGCTCAGCAGCTCTCGTCAGGGTTTGCTTTGCAGTTTCCGTTTCTAGGTCTGAGCTGAGCTTTTGCCAGGTATTCAGAGTCCATCTTTTTGCTTGCGGCTCTCTGGTTCCATGGAAACGTAGGTCTCCCCTCTCCTCCGATGCTTTTAATTCTTCAGATTCATTTGGTCTCTTTGTTGCTGCTTGCTTTCTTATGGGTTTGAATTGAAATGGTAGATTGAAGGGTCAGAAGAAGGTGACGGACGACCTTGTATCCGTGGATTTCTCATGGAAAGTTGAAAACTTCTCCAAGTTGAATAACTTCAAGCATTACTCTGATATTTTCTCAGTTGGAGATTATAAATGGTATTATTTTCCTACTATATCTTGCTAATTAACATGCTTCCGTAAAGCCTTTACGATTTGATTGGATTGGATTGGATATCTCACTAACTTCAAGATGTGTTGGAGGGAGGAAGAAATTGAGGCCAAGTTCTCAGCTTTTTGTTTAAGCTGAAGGTAAAAGATGGAAGGGATTGGAAAGGATAAGTTTCCTTCATGACTAGTCAGTCTGATTCCTTCAACTTGGACAAAATTTGGAACTAGTGAGTTATCAGATCTAACCCAATCCTAAGCACCAAACATGGCGGTATGCCGTAACTTTGTGACATGTAATGGTTTTGAGTTTGAACTTTGCATTGTTTGGTTTGGTCAGGCAAATCCTTTTGTATCCAAGAGGGAACAATGTAGACTTCTTGTCGGTGTATTTGGTTGTCGCAGAGTCTTCAAAATTGCCACCTGGGTGGTCGAGATATGCTGCTTTCAGCTTGACTTTGGTCAATCAACTTCACCCCAGCAACTCAAAAACATTGGGTACTTTTGCTTTTCTGTTTTCGTTGTTCACTTCGCATTGTTTGTTTTCTTGTTATCCTATCTATTTTATGGCAGATATAATTGATTACAATCAAATGGAACTAGTGATTATTGCATCATTTTGTGGACATTTTGTTATGATTCGAATTCAGTTATACGCTCACTACAAAGGAATAATTTTCTGTGTGACTGCAAATTCATTCCTGATTGCTTCTTTATCACAGTGTATTAAAAGCGTGAGGCTGTGGGCGAGGCTTCCGAGGGATAGCCCGGCCTAGGCGTGAGGCGTGAGGCGAGAGGCGAAGCCTCACGGGGCCTAAATTTTTTAATATATACACTGAGCGTATACATATATTATATTAAAAAAAAAAAGATTATTAACCAATAATCATCCTGAGCACACACATATATTTTATTATATATATAAATATAAAATAGAGGATGAAAAACATAATGAGCACACATATAACAATGCATGTAGAATATATATATATATATATATATATATATATATATATAGATGATGAAAAGCACAAGGAGCACACATATAACAATGCATGTAGACAGCACACACATCCATTATATAAAAAATAAAAATCAGAAAAAAAAAGGCAGAGAGACGATAGTGCAAGGAAGATGTATGAGACAGTTAAAACCCTACCCAAAATTTGGATTTGGGAGTTAAAAAAAAGAAAAAAAGAAAAAAAAAGAGAAGCCCTGAGGTGCACATTATGTATGCCCACTCCCTCAAAATAGAGGCGGCAACCCTCAAGCCCAGCCTCAGAGGGCGCCTAGGCGCCCCCTGAGGCGAGCCTTTTAAAACATATACAAGATACTGCGCAAAGACATGAAATTTGTGAATTTGTTTCTCTTGTTTGTTCTGAAGAAAGCTATAACTAGACATGAAGTAGAATGGTAGTGGTACTTATATATATTTCTCTTGTTTGTTCTGAACCATTTTATCTCTTTCTATGGAACTACGTTCGTGATTAAGAGACTCTAATTTGGAGTATTCTGATCTTTGACCATGCTTACTGTGGAAAGATTTGGACCTTGAATCTGGTTGTATAGTTAGCAAATTTAACCACTTACTAGAGCCTTATTGTGGGTGTGTGTATATGAAAATTTGTTTATTATGGTCTCTGTTGATCGATGAAAACTTAATTGAGTTTGTATATGAAAAGTAATAATTTGCTACAGGCTTCACTTGTCATTATTTCTTTATGACGTGGTAATCAGCTGTGTCTATTTTTAACGTTTTCTTAATACTTTTATCCTTGTTGTTTTGATTTTGCAGACACCGAGCATTTGTTCAATAAAAGGGTAAGTGACTGGGGCTTCCCGTCATTAATTCCTCTAAATGACTTTTGTAACCCTAGTAAAGGGTATCTTGTGGATGATATGTGTATCATTAGGGCCAAAGTTGCTGTCCATAAAGCTGAAATTAAGATCTTAGAACGCCAAGCAAGTAGTTCTGCACCTATTAAGCCCTCAGACAAAAAACGTAAAGCGCTGGAAAGTGTGCAGGCCATCCTAACCATCCCCGACCTTACTCATGTTCCTCCTGGCCCTCCCTTAGTCAAGGAACCTGAGGATCTGTCTTCCCCCCCACTTGGAGAGCTTGAGGATTTTAGGGGTTTAGGGAAAATAGAGAAAGCTTTTGTTCCACTACTAGATGAGGTTTGTTCATGGCATCCTTCACTGATTGAATGCCAACGCAAGAGAAGTCGCATGTTTACTGAGTGGGCGTTCACAGCCTTGGGCCGGCTTTTGCATTTTATGAAGACGAAAAAGGTCGAGGACATGACAGACGAGGCATGTGAGGAACTGAAACTTTTGTGGGAGGAGCTTGAGGCCTTCAAATTTGACTTGGCTTGGCTGGAGCCTAGTGTTCAAAGGGCCTTGGGTATGAAGAAGATTGTGGAAAGTTCAGGGAAGTTGAAAAGACTGAGAAAGGATGTGGACGCTTTACAAACACAAACGAAGAGGCTGAGGGCTGAGCTAGCTGTTGCGGAGGTAAATCTTGAGGCAGCGGTAAGAGATTTAAACAAGACTCAAGAAGGCTTGGACGAGATAGACATCAACGGGGAACTAGGTTACGGTAGGGGTTAGCCTTATTTTATGATTCTCTGTTGACATGCATCCCAACTTTGTTTATGTAGGATTTTCAAGTTGTACGAATAAACAAATAAACTTGTAAGTTTGTTATGCAGGATTCTCTTTTTCCTCTTGATTATATTTTTATTCAATTCAATCAGTAAAATAATGAGTGTATCGGAAGCAAAGAAGGGTGCGGAGAGTAGTAGACATATCAAATTGAACTGCCATAGCTTAGTTTGTTACATATGTTTGTTGAAGAATTCATATGTTTCAACTGAAGTGAGTAATGGGATGGTCTAGATTGGCCGATGTAGAGAGAATGTGAAGGTGATATTGTTTTGCGCCTTGGATTTGATTCTAATCAAACGGATGTAAATGAAATAGAAATACAAGTCCTGAAGGAAATTGCATAAGAATAATATAAACTAGGGTGCTTGAATTTAAATGAAATAGAAATACAAGTGCGGGAAGTAAATTGCATAAGAATAATATAAACTAGGGCGACGTTATGCTACTCCTAAAATAGGAATTGAAGAGAAGATAAAACAACAATTTGTGTGTTGGTCGGGGACTTTTTCTCTTCTTCAAAGCTTGTGTTTAGAGCACTTCCATCGGGGGTGGGATAGGCCGGCAGACAGCCAAAAAAATAGCCCGGCACCTAGGGAAGTCTCTCCAGCCCACAGGATTGCCTGGCACCCAACCCAAGATGGTCTCTAGGCTAGCCCAAAATTGATAGACCTTGGGACCGGCTCGTATGACGCCACGCTAATGTCAGGGATGGAATCGGCGACTTGGATCTACAGATGCGATGCAGCCGTGAAGTGTGAGTCCACCGCGGAGAGAGAGAGAGAGAGAGAGAGAGAGAACGTTTGAACTCAAAGAGGGATTCGAATCGCTAAGAGAGATCTAGCAGCACCGAAACCCTTGGACCAGCAAAAGCAAACAAAGGGAGAGAGATCTAAGGAGAGCTCAAGCTCTCGACTTCAATGGTAGGATCTCGCACCATGCACCAATGCTGCATGCAAGGCCATGGTTGGGTTCCTTGAGCTCTAGGGATTACAAAAATAATATTTTGTGTTTGATTTGTTTAAGGTTTTGAAGAGGAAGGAGAAGGAGAGCTCACAGGAGTGAGCTGGAAAAGAGAAAGAGAGGGAGAGAAAATAGAGAGAGAGAGAGAGAGAAGAGAAAGAACCAATCAAATGATTGGGTAACGAAATAGGTTTTTAAAACTTATTAAAATCATTATTTTAAAGGTCCAATTGGAGATTCATTTTATTTAATCGTATTTTAATAAAATGGACTAGGCTATTTTTTGTTAGGGATGGAGATGCATTTAGCCTATTACTGTTTATTGGGATCTATCACTGTTCATTGAGTGGATAAATGAGCTCGGTGTTGGCGCAAAGTTTTTAAGGGTGAAATTCCTCTTATAGGTGAGTCCAATCATGGCTGGCAATTAATTGGCTTGTGATTATGACAATAAGTGAAAATCTTCCTCAATTAGTGATAACTAAAATTGACTAGCCTGAAGCCACTTGCAAAAGAGAGAGATCTTTACCAGATCCTTTTTGTGCGAAGATCCTTTAATTACATCTGTTTATCATACATTGTGCGGTCAGTTTTTGTCAAGTACTATTTATATTTAATTTTAAATAAAAAAATTTACAATGATTTCTGACTGCACGATATATAATGAACAAATATAATTAAAGAATTTCCAGAATCCTCGCAAAAGAAATCCGGCGAGATCCTCTGATTGCGAAAACCTTCGGCACGTTACGTTGGTCACCTTCAAGCCACTTGCGAAGTTGCGACCATATATCGGGAGCGCCACCCGAAAAGCTTCTAGAGTCTTCTAAACCCGAAAGCAAAAGCCTCTCCTCAAGAACCCAATTGGTGTTCTGACGGAAACACCCTCCCCAAGACGACCAAAATATTCCCATCCGCAAGGGTAATTTCGTCACCCGGAAAATCCCACCGGCAAGAACCTTGTTTCGTGTCTCTGTTTTTCTTTCTCTCCAAGCACAACATTTTTCTCTCACTTCCCTTCACAAACCCCTCCCCCTACAAGGCCACCGCAGTCTCTCTCTCTCTAGATTCCCAAATTTTGATTCCCATTTTGCCCCTCGAATTCCCCCGCCATGTTCGTGCCCAGGGTTTTAGCTCGGGCCTCGAGGACCCTCCCGAGGAGCGCAATGTTCGTGGCTGCTCCACAGAATCATCACTTGCCAATCCTGTGCAATCAGTCCCATGCTCTGATCCACGAATTTTCCTCCAAGGTGCTGTAAAATTCCCCTTTTTTTTCAATTTTTCTCACTAGGGTTTTGCTAGGGTTTTAGGTTTTCTGCAAATTTCACTAATTTAATTTGGTTCCAATTCCCGTTCCTTGTTATCTAGCGCCAGGGTTTTATGTAATTCATTGTTCTTAGTCATGATGATGGTTGTATGATTTTGGATTCCAAGTTTTTTTTTTTTTTTTTTTTTTTTTTTGAATTTATTTTTTTATTCTGTTAATATTTGGTTTGTGATATATAGTTAAATAGTTTCAAATTTTTGTATCAGAAATTAATATAGGCTGTTTTTGCTAGTGGATTTTGAATTAGTTGATTAGTTCATTTGTTCTGTATAATTGGCACCAGATGATATTTTTTTCAACAACATAATTTGACTTCAAATGATAATTAATATCATATAACCTATGATATAGATATCCAAACCTAAGTTTGTGTCGCCTTAATTTCTATGCTTATTTTCAAATCTGTTAACTTTAACCAACAATGTTAATTTTTTTTAGTTTTGCCTTTTGGTCATAGTTATTTTGACTTTCTGCTGGCCGCTGAGTATGAGGTTTCGTTTACACTGAGGGTTGAAGCATACAATTTTGTATTCTGTTGGAAGAGCTTAAAGCATACACAGTTTGCTCAAAGTGGTTTATTTGATTATGTTTCTCATTTGTTGTCAAACAACAGATTGTTCCGAGGCAGGTGTCCCTATTGCATCATGCAACCCCAACTTCTTCTATCTCTCAAATATTTGGGTTCTCTTCTTCTGCATCGCCTCAGCCTGAAAAGGAACATGGAACTGCTGTAGAGAATGGTGGCGCTTCAATAAATGGAGAGCCAGAAAAAGCAAGTGGAGATGCGAAAGTTGCTGATCAAACGAAAGAGTCAGGTTATATATCAGATTCCCAGTCTACCATGTCTCCGCCTGTCAAAAGAAGGAGAGGAGGTACTAAACGAACTGCATTTTCTGATTCAGATTCAGAGAGTGAGGGTGATTTAACTATGGATGACCTGGTAAAACTTGTGACTGAGAAGGAAGATCTTCTGAAGGAGAAACATGAAGAATTCAAGAAAATGCAAGATAAATTCCTCCGAAGTTACGCAGAGATTGAAAACGTCATGGAGAGAACAAAGCGTGAAGCAGAGAATTCAAAGAAATTTGCCATACAGGTCCTGGTTCCTGTCCTCAGAAACTTGTTATCTGCTTCTCTTTTTACCTCGTTCTTGTTTGCACGCTTGGTCCTTTTTTTTATCGAGAAAAAAATTTGTCTGAAGTCCAACTCTGAAGAGTTTCCATAAACATGTTGCAGAATTTTGCAAAGAGTTTACTAGATGTTGCAGACAATCTGGCCAGAGCTTCTTCAGTTGTCAAAGAAAGTTTCTCAAAACTTGACGAGTCCAAGGACTCTGGTGGAGCATTCCCACTTCTGAAAACACTTCTAGAAGGTGTTGAAATGACCGAGAAACAACTTTTAGAGGTACACTGTTTTCATCACTAATTGTAATCACTCATTGTATTCCTTCAAGATTTGGGTGGCTTTATAAAGCTGAGATAACATTGTTTTAAAGTTGTTGAATTCGCATTCTGTTTCTCATATAGTCAAAACTCGAAAGTGAAAATTATGTCAGCATCTTTGGCTGTTTTCTTTTCATCGCTAATAGATTATACCGTTTCCAGTTAGTCTCATATATTTTGTGAACCTACCGTTTCCAGTTAGTCTCATATATTTTGTGTCAATCACACTCATTCTCGCATGTTGTATTTTCTATTTCATGTTCCATTTTGTGTGTAGTTGTGTACTGGACCTACCGGTTAATGGTTTTGTTAGCAAGAGTGGAAATTAAATACAGAGTTATAACGTATAAATGCATTTTGCCTTCAGGTATTTAGAAAGTACGGAGTAGAAAAGTATGATCCTACAAATGAAGCATTTGACCCAAACAGGCATAACGCAGTATTCAGTTTACAAGATGCTTCCAAGCCTCCAGGCACTGTTGCGGTGGTTCTCAAGGTACAAAATATATAATCAATTCTTTTGCATTTCTTTTCAAATGAGAAGGAAATTTACTACTGCTTGGCATTAGTAGTAGTACTATAAGTTTACAAGTTGGAAGCCTCGGGGTGATACTTTATGTGCTGCGATTGAAACTCCAATGGACATCCTGACATCTTACAAGTTTGAGATAAAAAATTTTGGAATTTAATAAATATGTCCTGTTTCTCTCTACTAGAGTAAATCCTCAGTTGAAAAAATGGCATGAGCTTGATGTTGTTAGAAAACCAGCCATATTCAAAATAGCTTTTGGAGGCACATCAGGAATGTGACTATTGAAAGAATCCAAACAGTTGCTTGACTCTTTAGGTTATACTATATTGTTCAACAAAATAGGCTTTTCCTTACAAATATGTGGGTGGAATTTAATTAACGTTTGTTAAAATGATTAAGTTACTATAGCACTAAGTGCACAAGTAAATACCGTGATGCGATTGTGTATTGCAGGCGGGATACATGCTTCATGAACGAGTTGTTCGGCCAGCTGAGGTTGGTGTAACTACGGAAGCGGAGAACAACGCAGACAATTAAATGGCAGCTAACAAAATTTTCCAAGTTACGGCTTCGCGGTGCAACAGATAAAGTTACAATTTATTTTTTCCGCTTATGTTTGAGAAACTTGAATAAGATTAAATCTTATTCCTGTGACTTAAAAAGAGTCCAAACTTTATTTTTCAGCCTGACAATTTTTTCCGCCCAATCATATATATTAGTTTTGTAATATATTCCTCTTGTTTTAAGTTTTCGAGAGGTTCAACTTTTGAGCTTGTTGATGGTAACCAAGATTAAACAGTTGCTTCTGCTTTCGGTTTTCGTTGTACTGCTGGAGCAGTGTGGTTAGTTTTTCATGTTGTAGCTTCTGGATTCTGCCGGAGCAAGAGTTTTTAAGAAACCGTGTATTCTTTGTATGTACAGAATCAAAACGACCACTTATACCACGAAACCTTAAACCACCCTCTTAGACCCATACAGAGAGTGGCTCATAGCCACATGGGTAATCTTTACAAACAGTCGAGTCGAACACTCAGAAACATCATGTGCTCGTTGATCATGTACTACTACTTACTAACCATATATGAGATGGGATAATCCACAAACTAATCCTACGGCTTAGTTACATGCATCATAAGCAGTATCGTACTAAAGAGAAATCACACGCTGAGCATCAATCCAACCAAAATCTCTCTGAGCTTCCTTTCTTCATCTGAACCAGTAAATCAAGATTGGAACTGTGACCTTTCAAGCCCAAATCTAAATCCAGATGGCTCCTGTTTGAATCCTGCACGCCAGATTGGTTCTCGTCCAACTCCTGCAGCGCGGACTTCATCGGGTTAATAACTTATTGCATAGTAAATTACTCTACATTTTCTCCACTACAGCAAGAGCACCCAAAAGTATCGTGGCCTTGTTTGCTTGATGCGGACAAGACAATTAACATTATCTTCATCTTCACATTGCTTTGAGAGAGTATCATAGTTGCTAATGGTGTTGGTTCCTAAAGTAGTTTCATATAAAACCTCACACGCTTATATAACCCATAAGAGTTGAAAGAGTCGAAAGATATTTGATAAGTGGCAGGAACCATGACATTAAAGTTTATAAAATCAAAAAACATATGAGCAGGGAGTTTGATATGATTTTGGATGGCAACTATCAGCTCTCGGGGGTCAGCTTCCCCTATTTCACCACTCAAAAAGGAGCATCTTGCAGCAATGAAGGTCTTGACTAAAGTGCCATAAAGCATCTTGCAGCAACGAAGATATTGAATTTCTAGCGACGTACAGTACAAGATGGGTCATTCTTCCCAGAAAATTTAACCACTACTTGTGTTTGTCTTTTTGTGTGCGTGTGTGGATACGTACCCTGCAAGAAAGAACAGAATACAATACTTGCTCCTCCTAGACCAACACCACAGCCAGATGTTGCAGACCTCATGGCCATAGCACCATGGCCAGTGACTGGTGGTGGGTGTTTATTTTATGCTTTATTTTTATCTTATAATTTCATTTGCAAAAGAACTTCACTGGGAATACTGCGTGATTTCATAGAATGACCCACAAATAATACTCATGGACTAAAGAAACCAAGTGACAGCCAATACCACCACCCACATGCTCATTCTGCAACGCTAAATATTATTTCAACCTCTGGGAAAGGGCACGAGAACACAAAAAGACATCCAAATGAAAAAAAAAAAAGAAAAAAAAAAAAAAGATAACTGAGCAGGAGTGCAATAAGTCTCACCTCATCTTGTTCCTTCATAATTTGATCAATGTTTGGTTTCCATGCATCTCATCACTCGGGGTAACTGATTCATCAACCTCACTAGTTTTCTCAGCATCTCCAACCTTTTTCTGAATTCCCATTTTCTGTTCCTCTACCACAGAAACCTGCACAATGAACCAATCATATGCAATTAACAAAGACCATTCAACAGTATCAAACTTCTATTGTATGGAATCCGGGAGTCGAGAACTCATATTTCAAAATAGTTCTATTCATGGGATCACGCAAGTTAAACTTTCATGAATGCAAGAAAGCATAACATTAGTCCTCAATTGCAGTGCCATAATACATTGGCAAACAACTAATAGCGATCACACTTTAACAAAATTAAAGCCAGTACACTGTAAACTCATACAAGTTCTTTTCACAAAAATAGCAGCTACAATTCCTATCTAGGTGAATCATAAAAATCCAGACTTGGAAACGCACTATACAGCACAGTCCATTGAAAGCTTCAAAGACATCCTCCAAAATAATCAAAAAACCAAAAACAAAAACCCACAATTTCCCATAAACCCTAAGAACAAATACACAGCAATTGAAACACAGATATGCATGTATGCATGTTGGTGGTCTACTTACGGGCGTGTAGCGGAACTTCCGGTGAGGGGGCTCATCCGGAGCGGCGGCACGTTCGGCGGGGGAGTTGGCGGGAGAGATTGGGGTCCAGCGGCAGAGGACGAGGCGAGAGCTATTGCCGTTGTTGTTGGATTGGGAGTGAGGGTTTTGGTAAGTAAGAGAGGGGGATGAAGAGGACACGTGGACCCACCTCTTCTTCCACCTCCGGACGGGGCCGTTGAAGACGGTGGTTGTCTGGCCATACCTAGAGGACGCCCTGCCCAATCTCGACCCGAGTCCTTCCATTTTCGACCCGCTTTTTCCTTCTTCGGCTCTCGAGAGTGACTGAGCCAGTGTGGGTGACTATTTCACGTACGAGGTAAAGAGATGGAGATGGTTTGTTGCCTCGTACGACCTCGTTTCCATGTTCTGTTACAACGTTTTGTTGTCAAACACACGCGACAGGCGACACCGTTCTGCTGACGGTTAGCAACCGTATTACTCCCCCCTCTCATTTGAAAAAAGGTACGCTTAGTGTGTACTATTATTTGTATTATCTTTCTAATAGAACAAAAGCCCGTCAATTCATATGGATTATTTTTCTATTAAAAAGATAATACAAATGATAGTACAAATAGATGGTAAGTATAATTTTTTTTTTTTTGAAAAATGATCACCACACTTCTTTTTTTCTTTCTTCATTTTTGTTTAATTTAGTTTGTTATTTTTACTAAATTTATGAAGTAGGATTCTCCTCCATCCTAATCTCTCTCCCTTTCTTCTCCTCCTATTTGAACAGTTATGGTTAAGTCACGTTAACGTTTTGTGTTAATTTTTAATAGCCAGAAAAAGACAAAAAACAGTTTGTGAAAAGAGGGGAGGGAAGTGGATGAGAATACGATGGGAGAAAATTCTACTCTTAAATTTATAACTATAGTAAAAATACAAAGACCAAGTCTACATTACGGTGAAAAGTCAAGGACCAATAATGAGTCTCGTTGATAAATTTTATGTCATGCCACGTAATTAAATTGATTGAAAATCTCATGGAATGATCAAATATTGCAATGCTTTGTTAAGGTTATAGATCCTAATTGACAAATTTTAGTTTATAACTAGCTATAAATACCCGTGTATTGCTGCAGGTTTTAAAACACGATTAAATTGTGTTGAAAGACTTGAAAAATGATCTTGGAAAATAGCAACAATATTGATAATAAATAAATTGGAAAAGCTTTGCAAACAAAAGGTTAAATTTTGTGAAATTAGGGACAAACATAAAAGTTTTCAATTGCATTATAGCAGTTAGAACTATGTTTGGATCAGCACCATCATATTTACATACAAAAATGAGCATATACTTTCACTTAGAGATACAAAAAATATGACAGTTATATATGATGCCTTAATAGTTCCATATGTCCTAAAAACTAAACTAGCTTCTGTACACAAAAAATTAACAAATGCTGGTATATGGAGGTCTGGGAAATATTGTTGGAAGATATGGCAGCAAAAAAATGCAAAATATCCTTCAACAGAACAGGAAAAGTGTTGTTGCAGCAGTTTCATGACTGTTAACATTGACAAACTAAGTTGTACAGACAGAAAAAAAAATGAAAAGCATTTAAATAGTGGTTAGAGTTATAGTGATGCAGATGTGAAGGAAAAAATTGACCAAAATGAATGCATACTTAGTCCTTTTTTGAAACGATGGTATCTGTTTTTGCAAGAGCCGGATGCGAATTTTTTTTTTTTCAGTGATTTCACAGGGATTTCATCAAATTCATTTGGGTCAACTTCTGAAACTTCTTCTGCTTCACTGTTTTAAATGTGTATATCAAATGAGTACATTTGATTGAACAAAAAAGAGAAAATGTTGCCTAAACGTAATTAATTGTATTGTTCATTTGGAAAATTTTTCTTTTAAAAAAAAAGATGTCTAAGAGGTATACTTCAAACAAAGGAAGATTAGTAGAAGATATAAATTTTTGAAGACACAGAAGCAAAAAGAAAGCATCAGATTTGATGAAAGCATGGACATCGAATGCAAACCTCTGTTCACTGCCACTAAAAAGGTATATTCTCACAGATTCCCTCTTTCATTTATGTGATTGATCGCTTGTTTCAGGTGGTAAGATCGAAGATGATACAGTAGTGGATGATATTGTGCTTTCTCTTGCTAGCATTTGTGAGATTATTGGTTTGATAGCTGAATCCTTAGAGACATTAAAAATTAGCAAATCGCTTGAGTTGAAACTATTCCTTCAATTTCCAAATCACAAGTGAAAGATCTTCTTTTGATCAATCAATCTCAAAAACTCATTGGGCAACTACTGTTGGTCAATCAATCTTTGGTTCAAGACTAAATCTTTGCAAGGCATACCAAACAGTTTTTCTCCAGACTTGCCAATTATCAAGGCATTGATTTCTTTAGTGCTATCTTCAAGAATTAAATTAACTTTATACCTACATTTAAAAATTGAATTGCATCAGTTTTTCATGCTTTATAACTCGTTGGTCACAAGTAGAGTAATAAATTTGAAACAAAAGAGGTTACATATCTAAACCAATCTTTGATTTGTAAAGAAAGGACACGGTGCCAAAAATGAAAAAAAAAAAAAATTGGGAAAACAATATACTTGTATATTAAACATTACCAAGGTGTTGGTATCTGGCTAGGGTGTTTTTGACAAATGAGTTGCCCAGTTGTTGGATCTTTTTGCATTTGCTTGACACAATTTGGTCAAGCATTATACCACCGATTATAACGTGTGTCAAAACGTTTGACTGATGCCTAACACAGGAATGTATCATTTTGTAAAATGTTTTGTAACACATGTCGAGCAAAAAAAGCAAGAAGAAACTTAGTTTTTGTTAAATAAGTAACAATATAAATGCTTGTTGTTGAAAAAAAAAGATACCAGCACATAAATTGTTTTTTATACCTTATATAGATCAGGATCTAAAAAAACCAGCTTATCTATTGTCACTCTTTTTGCAGTACACAAAACTTCAGTCTCATTCACTTATCTTGAAGAAGGTAGCAGTAAGTATAAAAAAAAAGTAACCAAGTTTGAAAAATAAGTTTCTTTGTAGGTAGAAATAGGAAGCACAATTATAGATGTCCACTCACATTGATTTGTATGAGTAAACCTCTAGGATGTCCGGGTCAATGAAAAAAAGTGAGGAACCAGTACTATTCAAGACGAGCTTATTTGGAGATCCCAAAAATAATAACAAATGATAAAACAAACATGAGTAAATATTTTCTATTTGATGATAGATGTTTAAAAGTGCAAGAAAAATTATAATCAATAGGTTTAAGAGCGTGGAAAAATAATTTGAAGATGCATGGCTAAAAACGAAACACAAATCGTAATGAATAGATTGAAATACTTGGTAACCAACATATAATAAACAAAACAAATGCTTTGTCATAAAGGACAATAATGTAATACACTAAAATTCAATAATGATAAAATACTAGAATAGTGTATAGCAACTACTGTAATAAAAAAAGAAAAAATGAGCTTCAGTTAAATCAGTTACCTAGATAAAGCTTGACTTTTAAACTTGTAAATACAACGATAATGGGCAAAGACATTGTGTGGACCGATAAAAAAGAAAAAGTTTCCTCAACATCTCCCCACAATGTAACAGACAACTCTTATTTTTTGTATAGAAAACAAATAAAAAACAAAGATGAATTTTTTTTTTTTTCCACCGTAACAAATGAAATGTTAATAATTTAGAACTGCAGTACTAAGACAAAAGAATAACCTGATATTCTCAATGCGTATATCACACTTCTAGGCTGTTCTTTGATTAATTTGTTTTGGTTTCAAGTGCTGGACCGCAGTCAGATGGTCAATTACATCTTACAATTTAAAAAGTTAGCGCAAAAACTATGCCATAACTCATTTGATTTAAAAAAAAAACAGAAATGTTTTCAATTAATAGACATGTAGAGACACACATGTAGACAAATAAATATGTTTTAATATTACCTGTAAGAATATCATCCATTAGAAAAAATTGATGTCACGGAATCGGTGGATAGACGGCATATAGTTTTCTAAACACTGTTTTAGCAGTGAATATAAGCTGGGTATCATGTGGCACGACTTTATACTGCCCTCTGATCTTAATTGTTTGAAAATTCATGACTTCGCAGCAATCACCAGCCTGAATCTTTGAGGCAACAACTTCATAATCAATGTCTGATGCAGAAACTTCAACTGCATTGTTCTTCACAATTGATCACGTCCAGAAAAAAAAAAAGAAAAAAAAGAATTAAAAAGGTAATCAACAAAAAAAAAAAAAAGATAAAAAAACATTACATTTTGATACAGAGAGATTAAATCGACACAATTAGTAAATAGATTCATTCAAAATATGTAAACCATCAAAAGAAAGATTTATAAAGCACTTTATAGATGCATAAAAATGAAACAAAAAACACAATTATAAAGACATAAATACAAATCAACAAATAATAAACGAAAAGAAAACCAATGACATAACTATTACTGATAAAATTCCTAATGAAAATTATAAGACAATGATCACTTACTGTTTCATTAACTAAGATACAGTGGAATGTCACGTATTTTTGACCACTTGCAGGAATGCTTGATTTCCATACCCTACACACACGAATCTTTATTTTGTCTGCTTTAGTGTAGGGACGTAATTCAGCAATAGGGGTGAGCTTCACGGTTTCCATTTAACCTGCTCAAAGAGAATATAAATTTTACAAACTTAAGAATCACCATAAGACAAATTTGAAAAGAAATACGAAAGAAAAGACTGATTTTTTTTTTTTTAAAAGAAAAAAAAAAGTGTACTTGACTCATCAACCAAAGGATTTACCATTTAATTGCAGTTTGAGCCTTTGTCAATATCCATTATATCCATGAACTACACTAATTGATCGTCATTGTAAATGACCAGTGAATATTTGTTCCATGTATGTATGTAGATATAGAGACTAATCCAAAATTAAGATATGTAGGAAATATTTGAGTTTTACCTGATTACCGGCGAAACAAAGGCTCAAAAATAAGATTTGAACTTAGGTATGAACTCATATTTGAACTCGAATTTGATCGATGGCTGCTACCTCTTTCTTTGAGCACTAAGCTGGCAATTAAAGAAAATACTATAAATTTTGAGACATGCAATTCAAATTATAAACAAAAGCCTAAACTTTAAACATGCAATCCAAAATTAAGTTTTATCATAGTAATATTGTAAACTTATGGAGGTTGGAGAGACTGATCCTGAAATGAATTACCAAATATATTATCACCAAATTAAACTAAACGTTCTTTGTAAACAAAGTATGCAATGTAGGTAAGCTTACACAAAACCTACCAAAAGCAGCAGATGCCATTTAGTTCTGAAATAATAAAACTATAATACATAAAATTAACTTAGTGAAGACTCATATCTATTTATTTCACCCAAAAAATTGTGAGCAAAAAATTCCCTAAAATATGATGCCCTAACATTACAGGCAAAATTACTTGATGTGAAAAAAAACCCTAAAAGCTGAGAATTGGGTTTGTGGATATTACCGATGAAATAGAGAAGTAGTAGGCAAACTTCTACGCTTCTCTTCCTCTTTCTCTAATTGAAATTGAGTTCTCTGTGAAGTGGAGTTAAAGTTTACATAAATGTCAAAAAATGAACTTCTTTGCAAGAGAATACAATAATTTATGATGAAAATCTATAAATACCAATCAAAATTATATAGGGGAAAGAAACCGTACCAAATTTGAGGCACAAATGATCAAACTCTGAAGCTCTTCATTTCTCAGTTTTTTTCCAGCAACCAAATAAACTTTAAAAAACCTGTAGAATCTAGAGCAAGCATTAAAGAAAGTCAACAGTGTAAGGCATAAATGTTTGCCGTAATAAAAAATAAATGATGTTTTCCTAGTTATATTTCAGGGTAATCTAAAAATGTCTTCCTCCTTGATATGAACAATATATAGTAATAGCTTGTCATTAGTTGAACAATCTATAGGTTTTAACAAAATTAAAATAAGAACCTATGTGGAAAATGCTGAAAATTATGTGTAAACCAACACCAAGTTAAAATGACATTAAACTGAATGGAAAAACTATTCTGCCTTTTAACAAATTGAAAACACTGCACTTACGAATTATGAGCAAAAATATAAAATAAAATAAAAATTGAAAATAAGATTGCATATAGAAAATTTATAATTTGAAAAAATGGAATAACATTGGTATTGTTTGGGGAATTGGGAAGAAAAAAAAAAAAAGAGGAAGGGTTTGAGTGCTGAGTGCAACCTGCTTTTGGTACCCTTAAAGGAAAAGCAATTAATTCGATAACCATTAAGTTGAAAAGAAGAAATTGTAATGAAATTGGGGTCTCAGCTCCTAGTCACTAAATAGTACTATTCTGCCTTTTGAGGGACTCCACCAAGAGGTTCTTGGAGAAAAAGTCTCCCACACCTCAACTCAATCCAAACTACATCCTTATATGGATTAACCTACATCCTTGTATGGATTAACCTACATCCTTGAAAAAGAAGAAATTATCATCAAATTCTAAATCCAAGCTATCAGAAAAATGTAATCCTTACTAGATTAACAAAGTTAACAACAAAACAAACCAAAAAGCCTAAACCAAAACAAGAAAATAAATTAAATGACAATGAAAGAGTAAAACATGTACGAGCAAGGCAGGGGTTTACAAACTCTGTTTGTTCCTTCAAACAGGCATAAAAGAGACTCGAGTTTTGCCAATTACCCCACAATTGCAGATAATTATAACCATATTCTATTCTAATTCTAAAAAGTAGGTGTCAATCAAATTATTAAGCCAGCAAAACAGAAGAAAAAAAATGTTAAAGAAAGAGAAACATAAATTGCTTATCATGGATTTTGAACAGAAAAAAAAAATGTTAGAAATTTAGAATACAGAGGTCACTAATTCTTTTGCACACATATCTTTGCAACTCAAACACGTAGTTTTGATAATGTTTGCTTGTCTGTGACTTAAAAACATTTTACCAAGACTTATTAGCTTTTTTCAAACCTTTCATGTAAAATTATATTCTTTCACTGATATAAAAATAAATTGAAAGTACAGCTCCAATAAAGCTTGAGGGGTTTAACAATATTTTCTCATCTATTTAAAGGGTTTTAACAATATGAAATTACATTCAAACTTCAATCGAGTTGCATAATTAATCCATAGTGAGTAATAGGTGCATATATACTTTTCTTCCCTTTTGAAATAAATATGTTTCCAGCCATTTTTTATGATCTAAAGGAAAACGTCTTTATGAATTAGTTGTAGAATTTCCCTGAATGGCTTTCCCCCAGCACCTGGTTTCATGGATTGCCAGAAATCATGGTTCCAGATCTCAACTTAAACAATTATTTGTATTTAATCTGCATAATTTTACTAAAAATATTTTAGCTTTCTCAACAACAACATTTAAACCCCATTTCACTAAATTAACAAATAACTACATAGAAATCATTTTAATGAGCAAAACCCACGAAATTAAACATGGAAGGAAAGTAACTGAGACACATACTTCAGATACAAAGAGAATAAAAAAAACCCAACAATTTGATAGTATTTCTTTCTTGTATTATCAAGATGTATACTGCAACATGCTAGAATGTTAAATCTACTCAAATATGGAATGTGCCAACATAAAGACATGGACTCCATACTTTGGCCTACCAAAAACTCTGGATGCTTACCTCAGATTGTTTGTATGAAATTTTTTTTTCTCTTTCAAGCCATTTCAAGCCATGCTTTATTGATACCCTATCCTATCTTATTTAATTAGTATTTTCAATACGTAGGTTTTAATGTTTTTGTAACTCTTAAGCATCAGGTGCATGCCAAAAGGGATATGATGACTATGTTTCACAATATAAAGACACATCAAACCTTAGAAAGTTTAAACGATATCTACAAATTAACTTGTACTGTTTATCACATGTGAAGATTGGTAGACTATGGAATGAATAATATGTAAATAAAAAATTGAAAGCGATTGATAGCCAAACCCTAAAATCACCACAACATGCATGAGTTCTACAAGAGTTTTAGAGCTTACATAGAAAAAGAATGACGTCAGAATCAGAGGAAATGGGAGGTGATAGGATTGTAGTAGAGGTCAGGGTGAAAAGGAAAGCAGCGGGTGTATCCACCAGGACCAGGACAATCCACCATAAGCAAATATAGGAAGAAAATACAATTGTTAAGTGTCACCCAACCAATTCCGCAAGTTGAGATAGGAAGTCAAGCTATTCCTCACCATGGAATCATATGAATTACTTGGCCAAGCTAATCTCCTGTATCCATTAACACATATATTGTTGGAGACTAAGATTTTATATTGTTGAAATGCTTAATTACGTTATTTAATTATATACAATGACATTAGTGAAAACTAAGATTCTATAAATGACGATATGAATACATTGAGTGGTGAACTAATCAAGTTCCAAATGAATGGGAGTTGTTAAATGCACTTTGAAATAGTCATCTTGTGCACTTCATTAGTGAATTGTTTAAGTTACCATCTATTGGTAGAAGTATACATTCCACAATCTGTTACATTAAGATAAGGTGTACTTTGAGGATGATTAGATTGATTCCAATTTTTAGAAGTCATGATCATGGCTTACAGTATTGTGAGTAGACATTAGAGACCATGTGCGAAAATTATAAACTGGATTCTTTATTAACATAATCTTCCATGAAAATACTAACAATGTTAAATAGTATGCTCATATCAAATTGCGAACTTAAACTGCACTCATTATTAGTAGCTAATAAAAATCATAAATAACATTAAACCCCAGTAATACTTCAAAGGAGAAAAGAAAAAAAAAATGATAGTATTGGATCAAACCTAAATCTTGAAATACAGAGGAAAGTATTGATGGAAACACAGTTTGTATACAAAGTAGGATTGTGAGAGCAAAATCCCAAGTGTATATAAAAGTACTTTGCCAAATCAATGAACTTATTACTATGAAATTAGCAATGGTGTTGCGAAGATCGTTCTAACTCATTCCCTTAAAAATAGATTTTCGTATGAGAAACTCCATGTTGTTACAGAAACAGAACACCATTATATGCAACTCTCATTCCAAATTTTTTAATGTTGGACATCGCAGACAAAACACCATTAGAAGCCCTAACTACAAACTTACATAAACATAAAAAAACACCTCACCCAACCTGAGGAATAAATTCTGAAGGACCCACCCCTATATACGAACTTAAAATTTCATTTTTTAAGGTTTAACCAAAACCCATAACTCATGCGTCTCTTTCCTATAAATAATTTGAAACCCACTATTTTTAACCTTAAACATTTATCGTGCTGAAAAATATCACTTAAGCATCTTAAGCCAAAAAAGAAAAAGATAGGCCAACACCAACAGATCAAACTACACTATACACCACGATAAATCCATAACAGGTCCTACATGTAACACAAATTTTCAAGTCGAAGTTCCTTAAGCCTTTGATAAAGCCAAATTAAGCTGTTCCAATTAGTGGTAAAAACATATTAAGCACACAATTCCCAATATTACCAAGAGCAAGCAACTCTGGTAAAATTGAGAAAAAGAAAAAAAAATCCCAACTTCTAGAAACTAAGAAGAATTTGTACTTTATATGGAAATTGAAGGTTTACCTGTAGATAGGCCAGCATAAAAAATAAACGGAATAGGGAGAGGCGAGTTGAATATCATTAACCACGATTTGATTCCAATTAACAAACAAAGAAAAACAATCAAATTTCAATGGTAATCACATGACATTCTTCATCAATTGAATATCATTAACCACGATTTGACTCCAATTAACAAACAAAGAAAAAAAATCAATAACATTTTTTCTACCTCTAATAATGTGACACATCCTCAAAAGGTGCTTGCCTGGGTTTGAAATAGGCACACCTTGTTTTCTAGCTTATTTGTATACTTCACTTTTCTCTCATTTTACCTCAGATTCAATTGCCTATTAGTTAAACACCATTCAAACCCAATTTTGCCTATTAGTTATCCACAAAAGGTAACGCAAAGAATTCCTACGCAGATCAAAAGAAATCCACAAAATTTAGCCAAATGTAATCTCTAAAGATTTTGGAGAACACAAAGACCAATTTCTCCTAGTTTAATTTTGATAAATGCAAAATAAACACAAACAAGCCGAAAACAGCAAAACAAAAATACCTAAAAACAACAGGATCCAAACCTCAAAATCTCTTAAAAGGTAGAAAACGTAAACAAAAACACGAATACACACATATGTCAATTTTGAAAACAAACAGAAAATCATTATTCACCAAGCTTTTCCTATCAAGAAGAACAACAGATTAAGAAAAACATATCATGGATTCCCAATATAAAACTTCATTCTCCATATATAAATTCAGGGTGTGTGTAAAGCTTGTCACTTTAGATCTTTCATAAAAAAAATTATTATCAATCGCATTTTATAGTGTTCAATCAAGACTTACAACACACAAAAATAAAAAATCTACCTGTGAAAAACCCCCAAAGGGAGAAAGCAAAAACACTGACCTTTACCATACACAGTTTTCAAATTTGTACACAAAAGCACAACACAACCAAAGATCAGTTTCCAATGAAACAAAGAACAAAACCATGGAAAAAATCCACACGGAACAAAATCGAAATCTTATACCAAAAACCTGCGGACAACAACAAAACCCCCAAATTTTGAAAACACATGTCTAAATAAGAAACCCATTGGTAGAATAAAAAATCAGAGAAAATAAAACCAAACTAATGCACTAAGAAAAGCAAAGAACTCACCAGGAGAATTTAGGTTTTGCAAGTTCAAGATCCATAGAACCCAACCCACCAACCCAAATAAGGTACATCGGCGGACGAATTTTTCCCCAGCAAAGTGACTCCACACTGGCAAAGACAAAGATCAGCAAAAGAAAAGGCACCAAGGGTTCAAAAGTGGCAGAAAGTGATACGAAAGAGTGGGAGAAGTCGAGAAAAGGAACAAAGAAAAATGAAATAACAAGGGAAAAAAGAGAACAAAAGTAGAAAGAGGTTGACCAGCCGATGATCAACATGCGTCTAACATGGACAAAATCGAGATTTTCCACCCTAAACACCATAGAGAAGAACAACATGAGGAAAAAGTGAGGGGCAAAAACGTCCACGCACTGGTCATCCACAATGACCACCCGAACTAGGTTTTAGTATGTATGATTTGTAGTTCTTTTCTTGAATACGAAATAATATTGATACTAAAGAGTTGGGGTTGAGCTCAATCATACAATGAGCTTACTATAATAATTTGATATAAAACTCACCCTATTCGAGCGTCGAACTTACGACTTTTTCCTTGCAAATGAAAAAAAAAATTACAATTAAAAAAGAATGTATTAAACCATAGCATTCAGTGACAATTCAAATAACTAATGCCATTATGAAAATTAGGGAATGGGATGGGTACTAATTTGGTGAAATCTTTAGTGTACATAAAATAAAATGGACTAATTACATTTTACACTGTTGAAATCTAAAATAATTTTTAGAGTTTTAATTTTTTTATTTTATTTTACAGCATAAGGTAATAAATTGTATCAATTAATGTCTTTATTTGATCATTTCATTAAATTGATGACATATAAACATGAGACTCTTATATGGGGTAACATGTAAGTTACATTTCTATCATATTGACAAAAAAATTCATCAATTTAATGAAAAATATTATAAATTGACATAATTAAAAACTTTATAGTGTAAAACGAGAAAAATAAAATCTTATAATTTATTTTAAAAATCACCTCAAGCCTAAAAGTCTAAAATGCAAGTTATTAGAAATAAAATTAACATTGATAAAAAGAAAGAAATAAAATTAACAAATGCAAGAGAGCATTTGTTATATTTAAACATTATTTTCTCTTATATTGCACTTTTATTTGGGTTTTTCAATTGAAGTTTTATTTTTTGGAAATTTGTTAACTTTTATTTCATCTTCCTCTAGTGTGTCTGCAGGGATGAAGGAATGATAAAAGATGTATGCATTTGGGTTTTTGGAGGCTGAAGATTGGGTCTTTGACTAGTTATAAGTTTTGTACTATAGTATGGGCTAAATTTGTACTTCTTCCTTTTTCATGTATTCCCTATAAACATTGCATATCAAAGATTTAACATTAGTAAAGAAGTTTATTTCTTTAACTAGGACTAAAGTTTTGATTATTTGTTGTTAATGCATAGGTCTAATTTTATCGGATCTCCTCAAGGGGAGAGAATCATGAATTTTTATTGACAATTAAGTATAAAAATCTCCGGTAAGTGAGAGGTCTTAGGTTCGATTCTCGCCAAAGACCAAAGGCGATTTGAACCACATTATTGTTAGCTCATTGTGAAGTTAAGCCTACCCCCTCCCCCTTAGTATAAATAATATCGTTTATTAAAAAAAAGTATTCCACACATATTCCATGGACAAAGACAATCTATCTACTGTTGGAGCAATAATAGAAATATATGAAAAAATAACAATATAATTCCAATGATAATAATCATAAAGAAATTCACAACATCAATTATACATGAGATTAATATAAACAACTAGAGAAAAAGTTAGAATAACTGACAAACTTGGAGATTGAGGCTTGCATAAATACAATGCCCTTAAGGTAGAATTTCGCCCCTACTCTTGTGCTTGTAATTCGGTAGGCACCCATCTCCCAGGATTCAACAATCTATAATCCGAAGTCAAAGCACTTCAATCTTCGGACTCTAGAGAACTTTATATATTTCAGACTCTCAAGACACGACTCGGAATTTAACAAATGAAGCATGAGAGAAATAAAGTGGGGAAACCCTATTTCTCAAGAGTAAAAATTAACTCTAATTTTCTATATGTAATACCAATGGTTTCATGGATTTATATAGAATCCAATTTCTACTTATTAAAGAGATATAACTTTTCATCTATAAGTATACATCACTTATCAAGGGAACACACCTAAACAACATAACCCTTCTAAGAAATTGGTTAACAATATTTTTCATTCAATTATTAAAATTATATATTACAATATTTCATATTATAATATATATAATTTCCAACAATCTCCTACATGAATGAAAAATTAGGAAGAATTTGAGAGTACACACGGACAAGAGATGCATCGGGAGAGGTGTCTTTTGGACTTGAACCTACCCTAGTGAATATTTATCGGATTTACTTAGTAACGCAGTGAATATAGAATCTTGAACTGTTCACCGCAGTAGTAAACCGAGACAATAAGCAACGCACACCACTAATCTTAATATATTCTGGTTTATACAGTTGTGTTCATTTTGGTCCTGAACAAATTCCGGATTCATGAGAGTTTTAGAGAATTTAACCATCTCATATTCATAGAAGCGACCCACTTCTACTCTCACATAGTTGACCACTGATTAAGAATAGTCTGCTTTATTCCTCTTATTTATAAGATATCACTATCATTAAGTATAAATATACATCCTAAAACTTCTGCAGACAACACACTTCTTCAACCATAGGAATGAGGTATATAGTGTGTTAACTTCTTTGAATCATGCCCAACCAGTTTGCCTATTGAACTTAGACCATGGGATCTCCAATCAACTAAGTTAGGTTTCCACTTGGCTGATTCATTAGTTATGTTGGCTTTAGCCTCATTCCCTTCGATGATCAACTTACTCTCTAGTCAAACCTTTAATAATTGGTATCAATAAGGTTGACTACTCTTATGGTGTGCACTTCCATATTATGAAATTATATTTCATACGAGAGTAGTTGTTTGACATTGTTTGAAATGTCAAGTGCTCAAAATTTATATTAGGACTTAATTATTAAGTAATTTGCTAACAATAAGCACTTGGGTAAACTCCCCCACATTTAAGGTATTTGTAAGAAGATCTCTAAGCTTGCCATACCTTAAACAATTACTCATTATAAGAGATGACAACTTAAATGTCATTCAATTAGTAAACTACTTGTAACCAAACCCTACAATTCTTTCATAATTGTAGTTTCTTTTAATGCTATCATTAAATCGATCATATTTTCCACTTTAAGAAGTAAGGAACAACTAAGATAGGCTTTATCTATCTTTTTAGGCCTTCATGCCTCACTAGAAATTATGAGAAAATCACTTCTTTGCTTTTATTCTTTCCTTGCTCTTACTAACATGCATGACGCAATGGCCATGTCCATTCATATGTGTACTTAATAAGCATCATTATGTCGAATTCAAATCTGCGAAATGTCTTTCACATTTTCAGTATGGTCTTGTCCTTTCTAAAAGAGCCCCACACTTTCATGATTATTTTTTTATATTAATATCACTTTAAATGACACTCAATATCATCTTGGGCCTCTTGTAATTTATAAATATATCACTTCGAAGAAAGCATATAAATAATTTTGCAACATTATTATCACTATATGATAATACATCCAGTCAGTATGTAGAAGTTTACATACCAGCCCATGAACAAATTTAAATATGTCAATGACTAGTTGGAAAGGTCGTATCCTTTCACTGTCAAAAGCAGCACTTCAAATGGAATGCTTTTTCTTTGAATCTCACATGGCAGATTTCAATTTTCAATTCCACCACATTACAAAACCATCCATTTGTTAAATAGTTGCATCTTTCTGCGACTTAACCGCCACATGGTTCAATATAAGTCTTCGACCTTCACCCCATAATTAAATAAGCATTTTTTGACGTTGATAGATAACTCATCTAAAATGAGTTCAGTTTATCAGTTTATTTTTGTTGCTTCTCAAAGCCAAATTCATCCACTTTCTGGGTTCTTATCATGACTGAACATGACTAAAGACTAAACCCAATTTTGCATATGCACACATATGCCTGAGTAATTGTTCAATGTCCTTCATATGTATTCCACTCCTTCCATGAATAAATATGAATAATCTGCACTTATCTTATATTCTATGATACCATGGAAGTTGGATTCATATCTTCTACAAGAGTTTTCCAAACTGTTTCAATACAAATTTAAAACAACACCATTTTATTTGGGTAGTCACTCTTCATCAAGAGCTTTCGCTAACATCTTTATGAATATAAGGGTTTTTTCAACAAAACCTGATTAACATCCTTGTGCCCAATCAAATATTGATTTCAATTGTCCCAAGAAAGAACATTATTGCCCCTTTAGATTTGAAAATAATGTAAATTTTTGAATCAAGCCATTTCACTTAGCCTTAACTGTCACCTCCTTTCTAATAAAAATGTCAATGTCAAACATACTTGCCAGATATTCATGAATGATGCAATTGAATCATGAGAATCGCATATGTGAAACAAAAGATTCATGATTGCAGTGTAACATATATTATCAATATATCCATGTTTTCTCTGAAAGAAACACTCTGGGCATCAGCCCATATGACAATTCAAATTTTAACATGGTGGTAAATGGCCAGAGACATCAATACCCTATCACTGTCATATGTAGAAATATCTATTTATTAATTTTCTTATAATCTCATACGCATGGCAGATTCATTTTAGTGAGAATAACCAGGTCAAGAAGCCATATATGTTGTAACATACATATGCAGACAATGAAAGCACACATATAACTGCCAGATGAAAACCGAAAAACATCTTCCAGTATATACACAATGCAATTACCACTAGTGTGGCAACATACAATCATTATGGTATATATCAAGAACATCAAATAAACTAATACACATCAATATGCACATAAAATCCAGCCCCATAAATTTTCCAAAGCAAAATCAGAGTTTCTTCTACTTAGCGTTTAGGGCTATGTTCAATGTTGTTGATTTTAACTTCTTCTATTATGTACTCAGACTCATACTCTCTAATATTGCACGAGAAAAAAAATTCTATCTTTAGATTGTTAGAGCAATAATAGAAAATATGAAAAAATAACAATATAATTCCAATGATAATAATCATAAAGAAATTCACAACATCAATTATACATGAGATTAATATAAACATCTGGAGAAAAAAGTTAGAATAACTGACAAACTTGGAGATTGAGGCTTGCATAAATGCAATGTCCTAAAGATAGAATTTTGCCCAT